ATATAGACATATATATAATAATACATATACATGTATATATATATATATATATACATATACATATATATATATATATATATATATATATATATATCTATTATATACAACATGGCAGGCACAATATACACATATTTGAAACATCGAATAATACTATACCGCGATTCCTGCTCAAGCTGTTTGCAGTGTTGGTACTACGAAGGCGGCGGTGCGACCCAGACGTGCCCGTAATTGGCGAGGTAGGCCTCGAAGAGTGGAAGGATTTGCCGAGTCTATAGAGTGAAGGGAAAAAAATCAGAGTTTACAATGGATCTCACATACAGTTAATTGATTGGGATTTACTTAGTCTATTGGTTTGAGTTTAGCTATAGTTAACTGATTGAGATTTATTTACAACCAATTGATTGAGGTTTGCTATATATATATATACCTCAATCAATTGGTTGTATATATATATATATATATCGGGAGGACGAAGGGGTATATAGAGGGGATCTACTAGATCTGTAGGTTTATTCGGGCAAGAGTTGTATATACACTGTGTCTATGTAAATTTTGTGGAGATCTATAAAAAAAGGCACTATAGGGTACATATATAACGACTTTACCCACACCGACGCACGCATTGTACATTAAATAAAGACTAATTGAGGCGTTCGAGACTTTTCCTATCACTCGACGTAGACTGATGACGTACTGCACAAGCTCAGTCCCAAACAATGCAGAAACCATCAATCCAAGGCCAAACAAGCATGACGATCATCCGAGATACGATTATAGTAAACAACTGGTACAGTACAGTCACTTGAGGCATGATTTCTCTAAGCAAACCACTAGCACAAAATCTTAGACCAGATAGGACAATCAACTTAAATACGATTTCTCTAACCAATTTACTAGTATAAAACCCTTAGACCAGATAGGACAATCACCTCAGATACGATTTCTCTAAACAAACCACTAGTATAAAAACCTTAGACCAGATAATACAATCACCTTAGATACGATTTCTCTAAACAAACCACTGGTATAAAAACCTTAGACCAGATAGTACAATCACCTTAGATACGACTTTTCTTTCCTATACATCGCATATGTAGATGTGTACGCCGCAGTCAAGAAGGTGACCGGAAAAGCGACAAACAGGAAAGATCCAAACATGAGACCAGCTGCGACTATCTTGCCACCTGAGGGAGGAGGTTATAAAACCAACCCAGAGCAGTTGTGAGTGGAAGAACATAAGAACATCCGAAGCTCTGAGAGGACTTGAACGTAAACTGCACCAATTCAGTCGTCTCGTCACGCGTGTTGAGATATATGTATATATGTATATTAAAGTGTAATATATAAATATATATATATATATATATATAACTGCGCGCGAGTGACATACGGTACGTCGCGTGTACATATACTTCCGCATAAAAGATAAAAATAACTTTCAATCTCGATAAAAATCTCCCAACACACATCCACTGCCAAACGATGCGATACGAAAACAAACTACTTCACCTCAACCACTCTTTTTCAAGGGTTTAGGGTTTTAGAACACTAGAGTCTCCAAGAGCACCCAATGCTTCAATGGATCCATTTGCAGATAGTTTAGGGGATGAACGTTAACGTACAACAGCACGGAAGGTCCCAGCCGCTATGGCTGAGGGCGACACCAGAACACCACACATAAGCTATCAGCAGTAGTTGCCACTCAGCGCAACTCATATACACATAACTGTATGTTGCGACACCAGATATCGAGGCTCTGGCTCTAGACACAGCAAAACGTGGTAGAATCAGCATAGTTATATCACTATAGGACTACTACAAGGTATGTACAGATGAAGGTCCTCCAGACACACCTATAGTAACGGGGTACATGTCACCATATCCCACTCCCGCAGTTGTAACTATGGCCCACCAGAACGAGGCCGGTATGTCCTGGAAGGAAGTTGCTTTGCCTTTGTGAGGCCCATGGGTGTAGACCAAGCTGTAGTGGTGGACAGAGAAAGATATAAACCAAGGGTTTTTTTGTATTGAGATGAACGTAGTTTATGTGGCAGTACATCTAGCTAAAAGGTATTGTTGAAAGGCTATATATACATACAAATATACAAATATACATATATACATACATACATATATTATTTATATATACATAATATTATATATAC